ACGCCGCGCCGCCCTTCACCTGCTCACAGCCGGTAAGCGGCGCCGGGAGCGCCGGGCCCGGGCGGGCGCGGGGAGCCGCGATGGTGGGACGGGGAGCGGCCGCCCCGCTGTGGGGCGCGGGGCCGGGCGGTGCCGCTGTCCCGGGCGGTGTCGCTGTCCCGGGGAGCCCCGCACACCTCGCTGGGTTGCCCCGGCCACCGGCAGCTCCGAGGGGCCGGGGCTGAGCCGCGCTGGAAGCGCCCGCAGTCCCCGAGCAGGATGTGAGTCTTTGCTAAGAGCTGACGTTGCCCAATGTCCTAAAAGTTTTAACCAGTTCCTTGTAGATGAGGGGGGTTTTAGGGAATTAAGCATTATATGTGGCCGAGGTTTTTGAACGGATTTTGGTTGGTTTTCGCCCTGGGAAACCAGCCAGGCAGGAGCTGCCGATGCAGTGGCGCTGTAAAAAGTGAACCAAGCAACCTGAGCGAACTTCGAGTATGAACTCCTAGCTGGTCACTCGCTCTGGTGGTTTTTGAGGATTGTTCTGGATTTGTTTTGTTGGTCGCTTTTTTGTTGTTTTTGTTTTGTTCTGGCGTGGTTTTTTGTTTGTTTGTTTCAGATACCTACTAGGAGCGTGTAGGAGGGAGATCTGCTTTTGCTTTTTAATTCTGTTAACAATAGCAGTGAGACAGGAAAATGGGCAGTTGTCGTCTAAGCTGGACGGCTTTATTTGCCATGGTGCACTTTCAGCAGTCTGAAAAAGGCAGACAGTCAGATACAGCTATACTAAATGTAAAACAAAATGTGTCCTTTGGGGTGAAAGCTTCTATAATCTTTTCCTGTACACATTTCCTGTCTTTTGTCTAGTCTGACACTTCTCCTAATGTTCGACTATATCCTTACCCATGTTTTACCAGACCTCTGCTCTGCTGCCTCCTCTCCTGTTTAAAGAGACCCCAAGAAAACAGACCAGTTCTGCAGTTTTAGGCTGGACATTGTAGAGTTACAAAACATAAACTTTGGCAAATGGAAAATTACAATATTGCTTAGACATCTCTCATAACCATGATATCCCAAGCCCTGTTAGTCACAGAGCTTGACAGTCATATATTAAAGTCTCTGCAAGTCCTTGGATGGTTGGGCTCTGACTGACTTTGTCTTGCTGTCTGTCCCTCTTGTTTTAGGAAATGTGACCGCAGTAACTGTGTGAGGGGCTCACCAGAACATCCCCAGCTTTCACAGAGGAGCTGTGTTGCCCTGCGCTCTGGTGTGCACACAGAGTGTGCATGAATGCTGGGCTGCCACATGCTGTGTGCAAGTGCTGCTGTGTTGGCCCTTTCTGTCAAAAAGCCAATATCCAAAGTGCAGATAGACTTAAGAAAAAGGAGTCTGCTTGAGCCCAGGAGCAGCCTCTCTGAGCAGTTTTGAAGCTGCTGACTCATGTAGGAAAAAGCCCCATCAACTGAATCCGTGACAGTTGGAAGCGGTTCCCCCTTCCCTTTCTGCGGGCTGTGCTGTTTTCAGAGGGCGATTTGGTAACCCTCCCAGCGTGTGGCTGTGGTGCGGTTCAACAGCAGGGCTGCAGCTGAGCGGGGTGGGTGAGACCCTCTTCCTTTGTCTAGCCCACCGTGCTCAAGCTGCTGTTGCTGAGCTCTGGAGCAGGTCAGGCTGAGCCAGGGCAGCTTCCTCAGCAAAACCCTGGTGTGGCAGAGGCTGCTTGGGGGGTGAAGTGGTGGAGGGAAAGGGTCACATCAGTATCAATAGACACCTGAAAGGAAAACTAAGTGCTTGTCAACAGCTCATCTTATTAAAATGTCAGAAAATGCACTTAATGGGCTTTATTCGCCACAGCTGTAGGGCTGAATAGCACAGCTGCAAATCCAGCTCTTATCAGTAGTTATTGTTCTACATGTCATCTGCAGGGGCTTTTTTCCTACGTGCAGGGGAAAAACATCCCACAGCTTAAATACCCATCTGCTTTTTCACCATCAAGTGTTAAATCACTGTGTTCAGTTGTGCCGTAGCTGTTTTGGGACATGGCATGCCTGGGTTATAGTGCCAGTGGTTATAACCCTGCTGTCTTTGTGGGGCTGGATAGCTGTAGTGTCGTCTCTGAAATTTATCCTGCCAGCTTGCTTCACTGGAAGTCTCTGGAGAAGAATTGATGTAACATCTCTCATGAAGATGAGCCGTGGTGGTGCATGTGAGGACAACTTTTTCCTGGTCTCCTTTGCAAATGTGTTAATTTTGCCCTTGCTGTTGACTGACCTCTGTCATTCCCCTCTGTGGCATCTTTCTGCTGTGTAGGATGTTAACACAACCCATGATCACACTGAGTGCTGTTGAAATATTTCTGGACTCCTTGTCGTGAAAAGGATTCATGATCAAAGCTATTGAACTTCAGCATAAAAAGGGTTACTGATCAAAACTATGAAAATATTATAAAGATAACTTTAGAACTGATTGTTTTGAAGAAATTTTAACTTTTGAATTTGGATTTGATTTTGCTGAGAATTGATATGAGGGCAAGATAAAAAGTTAGAAACTGTAGAGAAAAACGCTTTAAAAATTAAAACAATTTTGTAAAAGATACTGGTTTCCTACAAGCCTTAAACAAATCATCCTTCAGCATTTATTCCTGTAATGTGTTCACGTGTTGATCTCTGCTGCTTTTTGCTAAGGGGTTAGAAAAGGGAAGCTGCAGTAAACTTCAAATCATCCAATCCTCAGAAGTTACATAGAATGGTTCAAAGGTGAAAGGCAAATTTTGGAAAGCTGGAGCCCTTCCCATTCAGCAGCCACTCCTTAAAGGAAAACTGGACACTTGCCTGGCTCACAGTGGTTTCTTTCTAGTTGCCACAGCATCCTGCTGGGAAATCTTCGCCTCCCATTATTTTAATTGAATTGTTATGGGATGGTGCTGTTAATCAGTTTCCCAGGTTTATTTCATTCAGATTCTTACTCTCTACAGCATATGGTCTATTTTATGTCAAAAGCAAAACAAAAGTAATTTTAAAAGAGTGAAACAGTTGCTTACCTTTTTGTGAAAATACAGCATGTTAACAGGAAGGGTTGACTGTGCCTGTCCTGCTGAGAATAGTTGCAGCATCACCTCAGAATCATCTCCTTCTCTTATTTATGCCTCCCATGTCTGCAGCTTTGCTTGTCAGCCCTGGTTGAAGCTCATCTGGCAAGCAAGCCCTGCACAGCCGCTCTCTCACATCCCCACCACGGGATGGGGGAGAGAATCAGAAAGGTGAAAGTGAGAAAAAGTGTGGGTTGAGATAAAGACCATTTAATAAGTAAAGCAAAAGCCAGGCATACAAGCAAAGGAAAACAAGGAGTTGTTTTTCACCACTTCCCCTGGGCAGGCAGGTGTTCAGCTGCCTCCAGGACAGCAGGGATCCATCATGCGGAACAAAGACTCCTGAAGACAGACACCATCACTCCGAGCATCCCCCTCTTCATCTTTCTTCCCCCAGCTTTGTATGCTGAGTTTGATGCCTTACGGTGTCCCTGTGGATAGCTGGGGTCAGCAATCCCAGCTGTGTCCACTCCTGATTCCTGCATCCCAGCCTTCTGGTGGCAGAGGTGTTAGGGAAGCAGAAATGGCCTGTGCAAGCCCTGTATTCAACACTGTTTCCAGCCCAAATCCAAAAGACTGTCCCCTACCAGCTACTGGGAAGGAAATGAACTCTATTCCAGCCAAAACCAGCACACTCAAGTAGGGAAACTAGGTTAAATATTTCTGCTGTCCAGAGCTTTGTTAATGTACTCTGGATGAGCCAGTGCATCAGGTTTTGTGTTGGTTGGACCTTTACAAGGAAAAACCAACAAGTATTTCCTCAGATGCTGAGGAGGGAGCCAGTGCAGATCTGACAGTGGTTAACTTACTGTGCTGCAAACCAAACTGGTCTTTGGCTCTGATTGCTTCCTGGCTTTTGAATGTCATTGTCTGGAGTTACACATTTTGGTATAAAAGCGTGCCCTCAGCTATGCCCAGACCCGTTCACCTGGGTACTCTGCAAAAAGGATCTGCTTTTTCATGGCAAGTGCTTTCTAGGACTTGCCTTTCCTTGAGCTTCTTATACCTCTGCCTGCAGTGTGACTTTATCTTTGCTTATCTTTGCTTCCTTATGCCAATAGTGAGGACATCCTGTGTGGATGAGTTGTTCTTAGAAGCATTTTAGCTCTTCTGTCATCCCTGTAGTGCTTTGGGGACTGGGAAGGGAGAGGATCCAGAACTTAATTGGTGCCTTGTGGTGGGAGAATCCTTCCCCTCTTCTTGTGCAAACCTGCTAAGTGCTTGACTAACTGATGGCAGCTTAAAACATTTCAGTATAGTCAGCTGCACATAAAAAAAAGTTGCTGGCACAGCAGGTAAACAGGTTGGTGCAGGGTTGGAAAAACACATGTGTAGGTAGTGCCTTGAAAACTACAAGGGGAAAGGTGATAAAATACTGTTGGTGATAAAATACCAGATAAAATAGTGTTGTTTTTCCCCATAGTAACCCAGTGTTGAAAAGATAAGAGAGGCTTTAATTACCAAGTGTCAATTCTGCATCCTCATCAACAGACAGATGGCTCCTCATTGAGCTCTGGAGTTTTTAATAAATGTCAGAAAGAGCACAACAGCCTCATCAAAGCTGGGAACATCCTTGTGAACGCTTCACCTGGGATAAAAGACCTGGAGGAAGAGAGGATCCCTTTGTGCACTGTGCTGGATCAATGTTCATATTGATCATTAAACAAAAAAGGGGAAAGGCAGCATTTCCTGGCTTGCGTTGTCAGCTGTGACGCAGAGCCCCAGCACTCAAATGAAAGCAGATGTTGCTGCTCTTCAGGCTAATAATGCCTTATACTTTTTATAAGGCTTTGTTGTGGTGCCACGTACAATAATTACTGATGACTGCAACAGAACAAGGACAAAATGACTGAATATTAAGTGATAGGCTTTAACAGAAATCATTACATTATTAAAAATCCCTATGGTTAGCTGCCAGTTATTTTTGTTTCCTCTTGAGGGTTCATCCCAGAGCAGCCACTCACTCTTTGCCCTCAGTGGAAAGACCGTAGCAGTTGCTGTGAAGAAAATTAACTCCATCTCAGATAAAAGCACTGCACCTTTTTATGTAAGGGGCTTTGTCAGGCCATGTAATTTACCTTTAAAAAGTCTGATAAGGGTCTGAAATGTTAGGACTAATTTTTTTCATAGCTTAATCCATTCTTTCATACAGGTATTCACAAATTTTATTTTTCTCTTTTTCAGTGATTGTAGTTAGCCTGTTTAGGTTTGGTTTCATCAGCATTTGCTTCTTTGCTTTTCATTCCTTTTTTTTTTTTTTTCCCATTAGTGAAGGATTTAGGTTGCAAGTGCTGTGTTTCAAGATACCCTATCTTGGCTGCATTTGTGGTACAGTAACTGGAGTGTGGATATGTTTCTTGTGAAGGATGCCTGAAGGCTGGATTTATACCTGTGTGTATTGTTGTGACTTGTGTAGCAAAAGTCTGGAAGAGATTTTTCAGGTTTTATTCTTTATATAAGCATGAGGAGCTTAATGCCAAATCTTCCTACTTTGCTTCCAAGGAACAGATACGTGAGGTGAATTGTGAGCATTGATCTCTGAGGTATTTTCATTACCAAAGAGGCACAGCTGGCTTGTTCAAGCACCCTTCCCCAAAAATGTAAATATGCCTTTGGACACTAAACCTCAAATACACTTGCAGTTGACCTTAGGAAGTTGTAGAGAGTTTAAAAACCCAGCTGCCCTCCCTGTTCCACTGAAATTAATTATATGATGGCAATGGTTGCCGATAATATCCAGCTTTATTTGTCATGGGAAATGAGTGAGAGCAAACCTAGCCCTCCTCTTGATTTACCATGTCAGTGACAACCTCAGGCTTCCTTCTCACTGGGATTTTCATCACACTAACCAAGCAAGCTGACACGCTTCTCCCTGCTGACCGTGGGGCTTCCAGTGTAAACAAAACATCACTGGGAGAAGGCAGGCAGAGCCCACAAAGCTTCTGGTTGCTTCTTTACGATCAGGATGTCTTTTTTCTTAATAAGAAAGTGTCTAATTCTGATGAATTTTTCTTTCCTGAACACAGCAGTGTTTGGTCATAGGTTGGACTGGATGATCTCAGAGATGTCACATAAATTGTGCCCAGGTTTCCTGCCCTGTGTCTTTGGTTTTTTGATTAACAGCTCAGTCCAGTGTTTCCATCATGGTTAATTTTTCCAATTTGTGTGCGTCACTGAAGTGTTTTTTCCTGCCCCTCTCCCAGCACTGAGCAGAAGCAATTTGCTGTTAATTTTATTCTGAGAGTAATATTCTTGTTTCTTTCCCCCACAGGATTTAAACTGTCTGGTAAGAAATAGTAAGTAATTTTTTTCTTTGTTGCAGTTTTCTCATCAGATCATGCTTTTTTATTTTCTATTTTTTTTATTTTCTTTTTTTAACTGGGTTCATACTGCATGTTTTTCCTGCTAGAATCAGAGAGCTGTAAAGGGACTCACTGCTATCATGCCCTGCTTTGTGAGTTTCCAGTTTGATCCATTATAAGCTCCAACTAGAAGAGGAATGGAAACTTCTGTCTTTTTTGGGACAGAGTTTGGGGGTAGGCAGTGGCCTGAGTAAAACCCAACCCAACTTGTTTAGTTTCTATTTAAAGCTGGGATCATCCGTTTTTAAAGAAATGGGAATTGAAGGACAAGTTTGCCAGTAAATGTTAATTACAAGCCATTGTGATAGTACTTGATGAAAAATTAGTGTATGAACTAGAATTTAAAAAGGGGCATAGAGGGGTGCAGTTGAGAGCAATTAATGTAAATTATTGGGTGTAAGAGACCAAGTATTAGCAATGGCATGCATCAGAAGGACCTTAATATATTAATTATGGGTAACGTTGTGAAAAATATTCTTAAAAAAAAAAAAGGAAAATGTTCTGAAATTATCCATTTGGAACCTGGAGGCAGCTCTGCAGAGCTCCTTGGCTTTTTCCTCTGCAGAGCCCTTGTTCTAAGCAAGCTCATTCCTGCCTCAGTGCCCAACCCTGTGTCATACTGACACGAGTAAGACCTTAATATAATTATGGGTAACGTTGTGAAAAATATTCTTTAAAAAAAAAGGAAAATGTTCTGAAATTATCCATTTGGAACCTGGAGGCAGCTCTGCAGAGCTCCTTGGCTTTTCCTTGCAGCCCTTGTTCTAAGCAAGCTCATTCCTGCCTCAGTGCCCAACCCTGTGTCATACTGACACGAGTACTTTTGTAGCCAGTAGTATTTTTTTGCAGTATTTTTGTTTGGCTTGCCAGGTCAGGGGGAGGAGGACCATGCTGAAACTAACCAGATTTAAAACTTCTTTGGCAGAAGGGGGTTTGGGTGGGATCAGGTTGGCTGATATTTCCCACTGGCACACAGCCACTGGAATACAGCTTGACAACACAGCTAAGCCAAAATGCAGCACCACCATTAAAATGCTGCCTAAGTTAAATATTTGGTTTAAATTCTCTTTTATGGCTTTTGATATGTTTTTCTGCTCTAGGGGAAATTGGTTTTTTTTAGTGTTTAGTACACTCTTTGCTGAAAGGTAGTTTATTCTTGTCAGGGTTTTTGTAGATATTTTTTGTAAAATGAGCATTTGAGCATTGTCTAATTACTCCTAAGCCTAAAGCCATATTGTTTGACTGAAGGGATAGTGCCCACTTTCCACTGTTTCCACCACATATCCATCAAAATAGACCCGAAATGTACTTTAGAGGGGCCTGAATGTGGTATTTTTAACATGCTTTGAGAAGTCAAATGTTTTACAAAAGCCTAAGATCATGTCTGTCTGATGCCTGTCATACCTGATTCCACTTTCTGATGACTTTGCAGGACCAGTTCTCCCTAACACTCTGTTGACAAGCATAGTTTATTTTTCTGTCCAGGGAGCTCATTAATTTAGGCAAGGCATAACAGGCAGTTGTTGGAAGCTGAATTCAGATGTATATTCAAATTTGAGGAAAAGCAGTTTGGTAATTAAACAAGGTAATTAACTATCGGAAGGTAATTAACTATTGGAACGATTTCCCTGGGTATCTGACAGATTTCTTATCACTGGAAGGCTGGAAATTAGCACTAACATAGGTCTGTTTCAGCAGAAGGTTGAAGGAGATACTGAATAAATTTACTTGACCTGTTCAGCCTGACTACACTGATTGTGACAAGTGCTAACAGATTTTAAGGAAAAGAGGAAGTGGAAGTTACTAGAATAAACTCAGATTATTACAGGCAATTTACAAAGTACTTCCATGCAGAAAACTCTCTTTCTGAGCTGGAAGCAGCCTGTCACCCAGTTTTCCCCTCAGAATAAACCTGACCCAAACTGCAGATCATAATTGCAATTAAGCAGAGCTTCCTCAGCCCCCAGTCTAAATGTGGGTGTCATTTTCTGGACAGGCACTTGCATGGAGCCGAGCTGGCTGAAGGTCACTGCCTGGACTCCCTCTGCTCCCAGCAGTCTCCACGTTTCTTCTGATGTTTTCCGTAAGGAGGACGGAAAACTGGTCCCTGTGCTTCAGATAGAGTGGAAAGTGGCCACGGATGGTAAGTGGTGGTTGTTTAATTTGAGCGTGGAGCAGAGGAAAAAGGTGTGATCTAGTAAGGATAGATATCAGTTTCTCTGGGTCTCAGTTGAAGGCACTTGAGATGGTAATTTCATGTTCAGATTCAGGTGTTTATTATTTCTTGTCAGTAAAACAGTCTCACAGCTGTGAGCTGGGCAGCTTTTCATTAGAAGGCACAAAATGGCCAACAATCTCTTGTTACAAGGTCTTTTAAGACTAAACTGTCCAATTAAGAACTGACACCTAGATTATTTTCCCTTTTAACCCAGTAACTGATCCCAAAGAGCCCCAATGTGGACTTTTCTGCCCAATTACAAAATGCCACCCAAACCCTGAAGAAGGAAGAACAAGGTAAAGAAGAACAACCTGCCTCCACCCTAAAACCTCCATCTTGCTTCATATTTATTTCTATATTCTAAAATCCCAAAAGTTCTCCACCTTATGATATCACACACTTCTAGCCAACTCCACACCTGTAATCCCAGTGTTATCAATCAATTTTGGAAGCCTTCACAGCCTTGGGTCAAATGCAGTGTTCTCTTGTGGGTCTGTGCCTTTAAGCACAGAAAGTTTAAAATTCTCAGCATCCAGAGTTCCAACAGATAGAGAGGAGAATTATGACTTCAAGTCATGAAAGCAGATCTTTGAAATTGGAGAGGTTGGCTGCTTAATTTTGTTTGGCGGGTGTAATCTCATCTTTGTGTGCCTTGGTAAAGCAATAATTGTCTCATTGTTGGAGTAAATGACTACCAATAAGTCACATTTTCTCACTCCCCAAATATCTTTGTTTGTCTGTAAATGATGCTTCCCTTGCATACTCTTGTCCAAGGTTTTGCACTGCTTTGAGACAGAATTAAACACATTCATTTCTTCTTCTGCAGGGGCTGTGTGTGAGGGCTGTAGAGTTATGGTCTGTAGCTGTGGTAGTGTAGCAGCAGGTGTGACTCAGGTAACCCCGTGAACTCACCTGTGCTTGTCAGCTCTCTCACTGGGACCGTGTGTACCAAAATAAAGGCATGTTTACTTTGGCACGAGGCAGCTGTGAGAGGGCTCAGCACAGTACCACATCTGTGGAGCTGCCAGGGCGTGTGCAGTCACCTTCTCCTCTGCTCCTTTGCACAGATGTAGCTTTGCCTTGCAGGACAGCCTTTAGGCTGAGAGTGCTGTTAGTCAACCCTGCATGCTCGCTTTTCTGTGTCTGTGTTGGGATGCTCAGCACCTCAAAGCACTTAGACTGTGGCAAGGCTAGGCACAGTGGTGCTCTCCGGGGGGCTGCAGCCCCTCCGTGTGCAGGGGAGAGGGAAGGATGAACGCCTTTGTCCCTCTGTCCCTGCAGCCAGCATCCGCTGTCTGGAAGGGGCCGAGCTCGCCGTCATGCAGGTGAACAGCAATCAGCAGATCTGTGCCCAGTTTGACTTCCAGAACAATTTGCCTCTTCAGGTCCGTCCAGACGGAGGCCGGGTGAGTGCAGAGGGCTCCAAATTACGTTTTCTAGTCCGTGGAATTGTTTCTGCTTTCGCTGTTTTACGGCAAGGTTATTGATTAAAAAGTACAGACTGCTTGGAGTCTGTGTCAGACTTGAGATCTGCTGTCTTTTCCCATTTCTCTTTTCACTCTGCCCATCCTTTAGGTTTTAAGAATTGCTGCTTTTAGTTGCCTGGCATGTGTTATCACTCAGGAGGTTGCTTAAAGCAAATAGTTGTAGGGGTTCTTGCATTCTGCTTGCATACAGAGCATGACATTGTATAGCTTTTAAACTCAACTCTTGCTATTGCTTCCACTTCTTTCTTGTACTCTCTTGTTGTGGAGGAAAGCACCAGCCTTGGGGGTGGTCATTCAGATTACATTCCTTCTGGGAAACTCATCAGAAAAGTGCTGGGCATCCACAACAGTAAGGAATATAAACAATAAGGAATTCATTCCTTAACCACACAGAATTTGGCCATGTTGGCTTGCCACTTACAAATACCACTCTCCCAGAGTGCCTCTCCCAGAATTTGCACAGCATTGCTGATGCAGAAAACAGTACAGATTTGAAAATATATATATGGAATGGCCAGGTACAGAACTACATATGTATAAATGCAATTCTAAATGCGTAAGCACTTGCAAAGTCCTACAAAATTCATGCTAGACTGAAATTTCCATCTTGAAACCGCATATTTTATTCTAATCTCAGCTCAGAATGTGGTTTGGTGGGAGTTCCACACAATGATTTGGCATAAAACTGTTGTATCAGCTCAAAGATCCCAATTAAAAACTAATTCTAAACAGAAGAATTGAGATGGATAAAGAGACAGGTATATTAAATACACTTGAGTTCCAATTTTTCATGGTCAAGTTTCAGTTAAAGGGTTACATGGGGTGAGGGAACACAGTGGAACAGGGCCAAGTCAGCTGTTAATTTCAGTGCTTAAAGAACAACATTGTCCTTTAAAGTCCTTGTGGATGTGTTTTGTTTTCAGTGGAATTTCACTTTTGACCGTTTTGAAGTAGAACCTGGCCAGACTTACCAAGTGACTGTGTATCACCTGCCCAAACTGGGTGTAAATGGAGACTACAATTGCAAGTCCACGTCTCTCACAATGCCTGGTAAGAGGTGATTTAGTTCACTTAGGCCTTGAGTTTAGGAATGTGGGGGTTTGTGGACCTGACATCACTGCTGCTTTTACTTAATTTAAAATCTTTCAGAGCTGCCTCTCTGCTTGTGGCAGCTGGAATTACAGGCCAGAATTTCCAAATCAGAAGTTTGGCTTCTAGTACTAAATCTTAGACATGTGAAGTTCAATTTCAAAGGCACAGTTAGGTGTAATTTACCAAGAAACTTGTTAGTGCTGTGTGCCTGACCCTTTCTTGTAGATGTGAAAATTTTCCTATCACTAAAAGAATTTTTACTGTGTTCCCCAAGGTTGCTGGGCATCTGCAATCCCTCTGGTTGCACTGACTGCTTCATAAATATTTGGTGCTTGATACAAATCTTGAAAACTGGTTCTTAACTTTTTTTTTAACTTGCTTATAGTTGTCAAGCTGACTTTATAGTTATAAAATGGCAAAGTGTGGAGCGTGTCAGCCAATGTGAGCTGGAAAAGAAGAGGGAGCACTTCATTTTCAGCCCTCTTAGCCTTTCCTCTGCCTGTTCACACAAAGAACTTCCTGACTTTTATCCTCTACTGTTCTTCAGAAACCTAATGTGTGGTGTTAAGCTCAGCAGCTGCAGGGAGCTTTGCTGGTTAGAGCTTACACATGAATTGCAGAGACACTGTAAATTCATAAACTTTGTAAAGTTTAAATTGCCAACTTTGAAAGTTGGAAATTTGAGATGTGAAATGTTTTATCTCAACTGTCTAAGCAGGGAGTTGTTACTTTTCCTTTGTCCAAACCCTGGAGGAGAGACATAATTTAAGGCTGAGAGTTGTAAATCCCACTTTGCTAAATGTTGAATATGTAACTCCGGATTTAACTCTGAAGGAAGTCCCAAAAAGCAGGGCCAATCTGCTAAATAAAGGGAATTAGAAATGTGGAAGAGTGTTTTAGGATTAAGAAAGATTCCAGTCTCCTGATTTTCTGTGTCAGAATGCCTTTGGAGGAATCTATTGCTGAGGTGTGATTACAAGGTGGGTGATGAATATGAAGTTTTAATTCCACTATTGTGACCCTTTCTGCACCAGTGTTACATTGTTGCTGTGCTATTAAGTGTGGTATGTATTTAGTCTCATTCATTTTCTCTCTTCTGAGAAGAAAAAGAGCCAAACACAACATGACATCAGTGTAGGGATTGGTTTATATGCTGGAAACCAGTACTGTTCTCATACAGAATTTTGCCACTGCTTTAGAACAAAGGTGTCTACTCGTTTAGGAGAGCTTGGTTAGGCCTCTGACTTCTAAAAAAAAATGTGTTTTTTTCCTAAATGGAAGTACAATGTTTCTGACTAGCTGCTGATGGTCTTTCTTGCAGACTGCAGTGATTCTCTGATGAAAAGAACCATCCCGTGCATAAAGACAGGTAAAAATTTTTGAGTCACATAGATGTGGGCACTCTGTTGGAATATTTGACAGTTGAGAAACGTGGGAATATCTGCCCTACTTCCAGGCAGCTTGTGGGAACCCAGGATCCAGGGTGAAAGTCTGGATGATACAACTCTGCTCGTGAGATTCCACCCATGGACGGAGCCAGCCCGGTACCAAATCCACGTGACCAGTTACCTGAATGACAAGAGGTGTAAAATGATCACACAGGATTTCACTGAGGTAGGTCCCTTCCCAAGTCATACCTGCTCTGGAGATTTAGGCAAACGTCTTAAACGCTTGCTAAATCAGGATGTTGTATTTTACACCAGGACATTTGAACAATTTTCAAGGGATTATTTTTTTAATTGTCTTTGGAAAGAGGAATTTGGTGGATAAAATGATCAAAAAAGAGGTTTTATAGTGTATGAAGCAGCATATAAACACCTGCAAAGTCAAATGTTGTATTTGATTGTCTGGGCTTTATTACCTTTTTCGAGCCAGTGCCTGGGGTGCTAAGACTAAGCAAATTAACCAAAATTGAGATGCAAAGTTTCAATAAATCATTGAAGTATTTTATCAAAGATGATCACAGGAAGGTGTTAATTAAATTTTTTATATAAAGGATGACTGATTTACTAGCAGATGCTTCATTCAAGCTGAGAATCAGTTTCTGTAGGTCTTGCAGTCTGTGTTGCTGAGAAGCTCAAAGTGTCCAGACTGTGCACCAATATAAAAAATGTTTCCCTTCAGGCATTTGAGGGAGTAGAAATCCTGAATATTTGGAATCACTCTCCACCCTTCCTTGTGTGAGGGCAGATATGTTGGCATTCAGTTTGCTTAATCTTTCTGTTCCTTAACACTTAAAACCCTTAGTGCTGCATGCGCTGGTATATTTAAACTATGACTGACACAGATGGGACAGCTGTGTGAGTATTTCCCTGGTGGAAGGGAATGCACCTCATTTTGGAGTTTGTATCTGCTAATCTCTTTGAATAATTAGTTTATCATGATATTGATTGTGTACAGCAGGCAGCAGGGGCTACTTACTTGCCTGTTCTAGTGTCAGAAATAGTGTTGGCAGTTGCTTTTAATTAAACAAGGAAGCTTGTTAATGTTTACACATTACAAAGCTGAAGACTAAGAGACTGTAAGTTTAACTCCTTTTAAGCTGTACGAGGTACATCCCTAATTATTTCCTGTTACCTGTGCAGTGTCTTAATTGCATTACCACGTCTGTCACACAGGGCACGTGCAGAGATGGTGGCCAGATCCTTTACCCATGCTGTTCTCTCTGTGGGCTTCTTGTTCAAAAGGAAAAAAATAGCTTCTGCTTCTTTAGACCACTCCATTTTTTCATGACAGCTTTTTCGTTTTTTTTTTTCCTGCTTTCATTCAGTATTCTTCCTTCCCTTATAACTTGCATCTGATTTCTGCAGGATGGACTACAACAGCAAGTGAATGCCACAATCAAAATCGAGAAGAACATAAAAGCTTGCTGCAGATACAAAGTACAGGTGGGATCACACTGTTGTCCCTGTGTCCTTCCTTCACAATCAAGGCAGTGAGCACCTTAGGAATGTCAGGGGTTTTTTTCACAGTGTTTTGTTCTGAGATTGGCTGATCTGTAATTACCTGCATCAGGGAATATTATGGCTGTAAGAATTTTTATATAGGTATTCTCCCTAGTCAGTGGCTTTTCCTTAGTGCAGGGCTGCCAAATCAGAGATTAAGGGAGTGAGAATGGCACATGTGCAACCTCAGGAGCTCACAGCCTTTGTCATGTGTGCTGTAAGAATTCTTGATTAATCTGGTTTTTGAAGGGAAATGGGAACTCTGTGTCTCTGTCCTAAAATACAAGGAACATTGAGGCAGGGAGAAAGTAAATCAGGGAACAGAATTTCTTTTAAGAATAACTTGTGTTTTCTGGATTCTTTTCAATTGCAGATTCAGCCATTCTTTGCAAACTGTGGCACAGACTGTCTGAGACACTCTGCTTTCATCCCATGTGAACCAGTTCCAAGTGAGAACCACTTCTCTGTAAATTAGATTCCCATTGTTTTGCAGCTAAGAACTGACTTTTTAACATAACTCTTGTTTTTTGCAGGTACAGAACCATCGGGTAAGAAATTCTTCCAATACCCTGAAACTTTTTTTGCTGCTCTTCCCCTGTTGTGGAGAATGAGAAATGATCCTCCCTGGAAATGACCCAATGGGCAGGAAATGTCCTTGAAAATTTTATGTCATTTGAAAATAGTGGACAGCCCACAAGTGGTACACAGATGGTGCATGAACTGTACCAACCATATTGGGAACCCACCAAAGCTCCCACTGAAACCTGAGGATGTGAAGATCAGCACTTGGCAACCACTTGGTAACAAAACAGCAAACCAACAAAGAGCAAGGAGACCCCAGAGCCTAATAATGCTCTTGGTCTGGAACATCATGTGAGAGATGGAGAGTTTAGGTCATAAGGGTTAATTAATTATTCAGGGACTTCTTTATTCAGGGTCCCTTTTTTGAGCCACCAGACTCACCCAGCCAGGTATCATAATCAATATGTGCAATAAATCTCTCTGATGGAGATGAGAGCCTGGTGTCTAAAATTTCTTTAGCAGTCCCCTTGTAACACTTGAGTTCAGAATTAATTGTGCTAAGAATGACTTCACCATGATTTAATGAGGCAAGTATTTGTATGCAGTGTGAACCTTAAAGAGCAATTTTTTTTTGATAGACACTTCACTTGCATAGAATTCTTTGAGAAGCAGTTTTGACAAGAAGAGTCTTAATATAAAATACTTTCTGTCACTTTGCTCAGTGTTAAAAAATTTGCATAATATAAAGCAGCTTTTGGAGAGAATAGCATGCATATATTCATTTTTATGAATGTCAAGAGAACTTGTGCATAATGATTTGACATCTTTTTTTTTGGCTGCAACACCTGTAAGGATCTTTTGCCCAAGACTGAAAAAAAAAAAATTGAAAAACACCTGTAAACTGAAATTCATGACCCAAAATAGTGATATTTAATTTTTTTCTAACCTAGATTACATGAGCAGGCAGGACATGGGCGGCGTGCCTGTCAAAGCTGGATAAACATTGCTATTTAGGGGAAGGTTCTTGATCTGTGTTTGCAGTGTGCTGCACATATGGTTCTTTGTGTGGAGCAAGTTTATGGTGTAAGCACCACCATGCAAGCAGGAATTGGTTTGGAGAAGTGCCTGTGGATTCAAAGGGGAAAGTACTGGTCTGTTCAGCAAAGCCAGGGTCCTCCTCCCTTGGCTTCTGCTGCTCAAGGACCTTCTGCTCTTTGGTGAAACTCTGTGTCTGAGGAGTGGTTTTGTTTTGCAGATGATATGATGATATGGCTCTACTGGTGTATCACTGGGATCTCTGTGTTGCTGGTGGGGTCAGTCATAGCAGCTGTGCTGTGTATGACTAAAAAACGAGCAGGTGAGACTTATATCAGCCAGGAAGAAAAAAAATCCTATGCTAAAGAATATTTTTTTCTCCTTCTGTACCTATTCCTGTTGTGGTTTTGTTCCTTGCTGCTCTGATGCCTTGCCACTGAGATAATGCCTATGAAAACATCTTCTGTTTTAAACTGTAGGACTTGCAATGCCCTTATACCATCCACTAGATAAGTAAAGCCTTCCAGAGGTTATCCTCTCTGATGCTCCATGTTCATAGCACTTCAGTGTTCATGAGGGGAAAGAGGAATTTCGTAGTTCAGCCCTTTGTTTCCTGCAGATTGCTGCACTTATTTTTCCTCTGCATTGCATAAGAGTGTTGCAGAACAGGAGCTTCCTGTTTGTCCACACTGTAGTCTTCCCCCTGTTCCCCAAAGTCTCTGCAAAATTAATTTTGTACTGTTGCGAGATTAGATAAGGTTTTTCAATTGAAGTGGAAGTGAAAAACAAAACACAGGACAGAGACTGACATCAAGCAGCTTGGAAAATTGGGTACTTAAGGGCTAACTCCTAGTTTTCTGTGCTGCAGCCATGAGGCAGTTATCTCAGGGAAGCTGTGTAACTCACTGCTTGTTTTGTTTTCTTTTTACATGAGAGGAAGAGTTGGTAATCTTTTGGAAAATTTCTTAGCATCAAATTCGTCTATAAGGTGCAGCTAGGGACACTTTATTCATCTCTTCAGAGAAGCTTCTTAAGAAAAAGACATACTTAAAAAGCCTCAGGAGGTGACCTAAAAGAGGTCACAGGACAGTTGGGGGTTCTGTACTTGAGCCTTCCAGGATTTGGGGAAGATGGTGAAAGCTCATTTTGAGTGCACTGTCTCCTCTCAAAGGAAAAATACAGCAAGAACTGGCTGTAGAGGAGTCTTTATTCATTCAGCATGGTTTTTTATTAGGTTTCTCCCTCTTTACAGCTTTATCTCCCTACACAGTTAAAGATATTTTTTTTTAACCTAATCTGTGGAAGGTGGTGTGATTTTAAGCATTTAATCTTACTTCCTGCTTTCAGAACTGACAGTGACTATCTCTCTTGCAGAGCGCCGGCGAGGGAAATGCAACCACGACGGTTTGCAAGCTGGTAAGATGCCTCTGGGTTTTGTCAAGCACCTGTCATGCAGGTCTCACACAGTTGCCCAGAAGGGGCTTTTGTAGGCTCTAACTACTCTAGAGATGCTTCTTGGAACTAAAAGCTAGCCTTAGGATCTTCCTGTTTAGCTAAAAGAAGCTTTGTATATGGAATTTGAAATGCTGTTTTTGTGAGATGGGAAATAATTGGTTTGGAATGCGGGGAGACTTTTGAGCCAGCCAAGGATGTACTAGGAGAAGAAGCTTTGGTAATCATCTAGGCCATAACAACAGCAGATTGGTTTGGGATGGATGCACTGAGCTCTCCACCAGAGAATACAGCAATATTTGCAAACCTCTTGAAGCTGCTGCAGTGTTTTTGTGAGGTGAAAGTTGATGAATCATCTGGGCATTCTCATAAATCACAGCTTCACCGTGTCTGCACTTTCACATTAAATTTACAAAATGAGATGTTGTCCACATACGTTGCCAAAACAGCATAAAAGCTTAAAAGTTTTGTTAATACCCTCCTGTGCTGATTAGTGCTGACTCACACCATTGCAATTTGGGGGAATGTGGCTGGAATTAATATTTCTCTGTCTTCCATCAGCACCGTACACCGAGCTGCCCCTGCCGCCCCTGAAGCTGCGGAAGGTTTGGATTGTGTACTCTGCTGATCACCTGCTCTACGTGGACGTGGTGCTGAAGTTTGCTGAGTTCCTGATGACAGTCTGTGGCACTGCTGTGGCCTTGGATCTGCTGGAAGACCACCACATCTCGGAGCTGGGGCCCTTACCGTGGCTCACGCGGCAGAAGAAGGAAATGGAAGAGCTGTCTTCAAAGATCATCATCTTGTGCTCCCGGGGCACCCAGGCCAAATGGCAGGCCATGCTCGGCAGCGAGCCCGTGTGTCTCAAGCAAGATCAGCAAAAGCCAGTGGGAGACCTGTTCACCCCAGCCTTGAATCTGATCCTGCCAGATTTCAAGAAGCCAGCCTGTTTTGGAATGTACATAGTTTGCTACTTCGAGGGAATAAGTAGTGAGAGAGATATACCTGATCTGTTCAATGTCACATCCAGATACCAACTGATGGACAAGTTTGAGGATGTTTATTTTCGGATTCAGGATCTGGAGAAGTTTGAACCTGGGCGGATCCATCGAATCCAGGAAATCACAGCTGAAAATTACATCGATACCCCCAGTGGGAGGAAGTTGAAAGAGGCCATAGAGAAGTTCAAGAATTGGCAGACTGAGCACCCAGACTGGTTTGAGAGTGAAACCATCTGTTTGGATAGTGATGAGGAGTTGCATTCCCTGAACAGAGAGAGCCAGGTGGATTCACTGCTGAGTGAGCCAGGTGGAATTGTGAAACACCAGCTGCACCCACGTGAGCCTGACCCCAGCTGCTGTTACGCCATCAACCTCCACATGCACGAAGGTGAAAGTACAGGCTGCAAGCTGCAGCCTCAGCTTAATCCATGTGGGCATCCAAATTCCCAGACTGTGGTCCTTCCTTTGGATGTTCCTCTAGTTCAGGTAGTGGAGCCAGTCTCTTCCATGGAAGATAGAAATATACTCAGTCACCATGTGCTGAGCAATGAGGACTGTATGGAAGGAGTTCCTCTTCTGGAGACCAGCTTTCCAATGAGGAATAACGTCATCCTCCACGATGGCTCTGAAGCTTCAGTAGCTGACCACCAGAGTCCTGCAAACTTGTCAGATGACCTGAGTGACCATCTGAATGGACTCATGTACCCCCTTTATCAGCAGAGTGTCATTCCTTCAGAGCCGTATCTCTGCCAGGGGGAGGCTGACAAGCAGCACCAGCTGGTCTTTGAGGAGCAGTGCAAAGACCAGAGACAGTCAGTGCAGTCAGACCAGGGCTACATCTCCAGGTGCTCCCCTCTGCCTCCTGAGGACCTTCTGGAGGAGGAGGAAGAGGAGGAGGAGGATCAGGAACAACAGGGGGGCTTCCATGAACTCTCTCCAGAGGTTTTGAGCAGTCTGAAGAGCCTCCAGAAGCAGCTGTTTTTCCAGGACATCCAGAGGCTCTCTGGCTGGAGCTATCCAGCAGAGGTGATGGACATGGACCAATCTTTGGAGGACTGTTAGGCTCTGCCTGGGACCTGCCCTGTTTGAAATACAGGGATGGAAGGTGGTCCCATGCAGAGTAGTACTGAGACTGCATTTCCAGCACTCTCCTCATCCTTGTATTGCAAATGGCTTAGTGCTGGGACCTTCCTGTGCTGCTGGGATGCAGCACTGCCCAGCAGATGTGGAATGTTGCTTCCAGTCTCTGTGGAAAGAAGCCAGGAGTAGTGGCCACCCCTGTGAAAGAACAGGCAGTGATTCTGTTCCTTGGGGAAAAGCATTACACTGAATTCTCACTGATGGATGGCAGAAAAATTACTGTGGCTCATCCACTCGTGCCTTCAAAATGCCCTCCAGCTGTGCTGATTCTATTGCACTGGATAAAAGTCACAGGCATGGTTTAGAAAATAGGTTTAAATAACATGGTGACATTTGCATTGCCATTTTAATACACATTTTGAACATTTCCTTGTAAATAGTGTATTAAAGACGTGTGCCTTAAATTTCAGCTAGATTAGGGCTGTCTCTACGTGGTTGATAAATGTGCCTAAAGATTTTTTTTTTCCCCCACTCATCATTCTTTTGCAGCTGCATTTCCATGGTCATTCAGAAATCAAGCTGAGAATAAGTGGGATAAATGTTTTAAATTGAGAGTCTCCATAACTCTTCCTGGCTCTCTACTGGGAGAGAGCTGGAATAGCTGAGAATAAGTGGGATAAATGTTTAAATTGAGAGTCTCCATAACTCTTCCTGGCTTTCTACTGGGAGAGGGCAGCAGCAGTGCAGGGGAAAGAGCAGACCAAGGAATGGAATTTGGGATTTTTTTACGGTTTTAAGAAATGTGGGACTGAATACAGAATCACAGAATCAGGGGAATCTGGTGTATTCTGTGACACACTGCTGCAGTGCTGTTTGCACCAGGAAGATGTGAACTGAAGATATAGATAGTGACACACAAGGAAATAAAGGATTATTTTGGAGGAGGAAGAACTGTAGCCTCAGCAGATGCTGTTTTAGAGTGGAAATTTTATCTGAGTTAAGGGAGGCTGAGCAAAAACAACTGTGAGATGTACTTGTGTGGGTTTAAGCTGAAGCATGGGTAGTTCAGGTTAACCACAGTGAAATACTGAACAGACTAAGGGATTCATCTTCCAGGAGCAGTGATGGTGAGGCTGACATTGACCCTGTTTCTTATCCCTGTTTCTGCAGCCCACTGGATAACAACCTGTGAGATGTAAATACATCCAGGCCTTTCTCCTTTGTCATCTTCCCATCCGTCTAAGTTTACTTGTCAAAAAATCTTTTATCTCAGCTTTTTTAAAATTTAATGTCTCAGAAAAGAATCTGTTCTTTTGTCTTACAATTTATTTTGTATTGTGTGTATTTTATAGCTTTGTGTCTAACCTGTGGGGTTTTTTCCTTAAATTAAAAATGAAGAATAGTTTTTTGGATATATTCACTTAAATACTTCTGTGTCCTCAATTCTGCCTAACTCCTTATGTTATGTTAAGTTCTTAGTATTTGTTACAGAAATCTGAGGCAAAACTGAGCCAGAACTGAGCTAGCTCATGAATGTCAAAATATTCCTGCAAAGCACAGTATGGAGATGAGCTGGACAGAGCTGAGGGCCTGCAGCCATGGGAAGCATCCCTCCATCCCTTCAAAAGGGGTGGTAAAGGAATTGTTTGTAATTTCCATGCAGGACTCTTAGGACAGCTTAGTAACAAAGGGACAGTGCCTGCAGAGATCCAGACTTCAGGCTGGGAGCCTTCCTGCTCCAACAGGAATCCAGTCTAACCCAACGGGAGCTAAGCAAGAGGCAGCTGTGATCTCAGTGCTTCTCCAGTGAGAACCCATTTCCCAGATTATGTCAGTAATTGCCATCCTGATGATCCCACTTCTAAAATTTTCTTTTATCTTACAGCAATTAACATGTAAATCTGATTTTTTTTTTCCCCCATGAGTCTTTTTCAAGTGGTATAAATTCCTATAAATCACTTAAATAGGAAGCTCAGAAGTGTCATCTGAATTTCCTTGCCTTAGTCATTCCCTTCTCAAATAACTCCCTTGGTGTTACAGCTCTTAGAATTTGCTTTCACTTACAAAAAGTTTGTTCGAAGGGAAAACCCAGACACTATTTGAGCAATCCAGTATGAGGAAAACAAGTAACTTTAACACATCTATTGGTCCCTATTCAATACAAAATTGAATAGCCCAGCAAGAATCAAAGGAGAGAAAAAAGGAACAGAATCAGTCACAAGTTTCTAATTTTATTTTAACAATCTTGCTTTTTAAAAAATACAAGTTCTGATTAATGCCAGGGGGATGCCAAGTGTCCATCAGCCACAGGCCTTATCTCTCACTTCCATTTGCCCTCCTGGGAGTAGTCATCTCTTTTGTCAGGATAGCAAACAAAGAGCAGTAAAATGCTAAATAACGGAGTTGTGTAACAGAATCCCAAGGGACCTGTGTCTTAGTATGGCACAAATTCGTTCAGCAAAGTGTTACTGACCTGGACCAGTAATTTAATGTTGGCACAATGTACAGGAGTTGTGCAAGGTGCATCAGGAGAGGTATTGTTTGCACTTCTGTGGTACCACCAGCTCTCTTCTGCAAACAGAAAGGTTTAAGTGGAAGCAAGAGCTCAGTTACCAAAGAGGAGGGAATTCAAGAGGAGGAGCAGGTTTATAAACAAGACATAGAAGATCTTTAAGTGTTTTTTTCATAGTAATTGCAGGAGCAGCAGAGCTGCCCTTTTAGTTGCAAGGGGGCTTCTGTGTAGGCAACTACAGGAGCTTTAACACTCTCCAAACAGCACATTTCCTAACAACCTAGAAACCATGGCACCACAAACAACTTTTTCTACAAAGGAATTCTATGCAACACAAGTGTCATTTTGCAGGGTTATGTGTCCCAGGCAACCTTTTCATCCATGGAAAAATCTGAACTGTGAGTTCACTGCCAATGGGTTAAATATGCCATGGCCAGATAAGTTTCAAATATGCCATTTTTCTCAATAACATCCTAACTGGAAAAAGGCACTCACTTTTGAAACAGCAACTTTGTTATGGGCTGGGAGGGGGTACTGAAGTAAGACTCATTAATAATTGTGCTGTGATTCTTTTGATGTCTCAACTATGCTTATGCTTCAGTGTATTAGGGATTAGCATTTTGGTGCTATTGGGAACTTGGCCATAGGAGCAGCCAAACATATTTGATGATGAAAATATATTTTTTTTCCTTCAGCTTGTTTTTTGCAAAGTTGGTTGGGGATTTTTTTTTTTCCTTCAGCTGTTTGACTGAAGAATGGAGTAGTCCTAGGTCCAGGTATCACCTTATTCTCTCTTGAAAAATTATTTCTGAGCTTCTACTATCTATTTAATGCTGAAAAAGGAAGGTGCAAGGAAACAAATATCTGTACAGGCATAATACGCCTGTAATTACACCTCCTTTGGCCAGGAACTTAGCATCCCCTCAACACATTTCACATCACATAGGAAAAGTTCACAGTACCAAGTTTTACAATCACAGTCACTCACAGCACCAAGATTGTCCAGACAAGAAGAAGTTACCGAAGAGAAAGGCCACTGGCCAAAATTCACACAACTGCCCACGTAAGGGCTCAGGTTAAAAATAAAGCACTGGTGGGAAAGGTAAGCCTAGCTTTTGCCAGCTCTCCATTTGGCATGAGGAGAGCAGCGAGTCACCCATCCTAGCTGCACTTCTGAACAGAACTGCACTATTGACCCATCTTTTCTAGGGGCTTTTCCAGCCCCTCCAAACCCATCAGCCACCGAGAGCTGGGGGAGAAGAGCCCCATGGCAGCCCCACTTTCTGCCTCTGGGAGCTGGGAGTTACCAGACTGTAAACATTTTGTTGTAGCAGTCCACCGGAGCAGGCAGTTGATCCCACTCTGTGACAAGGAAGGTGGGACAGAGGCTCTGAAGCCCAAGCCCTGAAGGAAAGAATAAATGTGTGTGCGGAAGAAGTCTGGGCTGCACCTGCAGTCCTGCTGTGGGTAGCAGTTGGTTGTGCTTTATTTCCCCTTCCCATCAGGACAGCTTGAAAAAAAAAAAAAAAAAAAAAAAAAAAAAGAAAAAAAACTTGCAGCAGGAAACTGTTGTTCTTCACAATTATTGCAGCCTTGCCCAGATAACAAAATATAAGCCTGGGAGGGGCAAAGTCCTTCCTCCGAACGTGGTCTGTGTGCTCCTCCTTCCATGGGGCTGGTTTCAGGAGCAGCGGCAGCCAGGCAGAAGAGCAGGCCTTAACCCCACCCAACATTCATGGAGCTTTAAAACCAAAGAAAACTGTGTTCCTATGAGAGGTTACTAACAATTTTTCCCCACCTACCCTAAACCACATGCACACAGAGGACAGGATGCTGATACGTGGGCTTTCACCAAAGCTGGAGAGCCCCTGTGCCTCGAGGGCTCCTGCAGCACTTTGCTTGCTGTGCTGAAATGTTTGGTTCGCTGAGCATGGAGCCCACCCCGAGCAGTGCCAGCGTCCTCTGCTCTGCTCTCAGAGAGGGGGCACTTTGCAGGCTTAGCCCCAGCTCTGCTCTCTCAAGCAGGCGTGGAAGGGGGCCGGAGGAAATTTTCCAGCCTTTCTGGCTGGATAAAGGAAGACCCTACGCTCCGTGTAAAAGAAAACCAACGCTGATCCCGTAAACATGCATATTCACAGAGAAATGAGAGCCCCAGCACCTGGGGATGCCAGCAGGAGGCTGCTGTAAACCCTGTTCTCACCAGAAATAAATGTCTTGGTGGTTATGAAATGGGGCCTGAGCCCTGGTTTGTGTCCATGCCAGACTGGTTTCTTTAGCATGTGAAGTCAATGTAAGATGCAAAAGGTTGAAGCACAGAGGTAGACATTTTGGCTAGGAGAAGGTGGCTCATGGGCTTGAAGTGACCAAGTGGCCAGCGTGCTTCCAGAGGTTCCTTAGCTGGTACACAAAGGCCTGGGAAACACAGGCAGCAGCTTTGCAAGACCCAGGGAAACCAAAGCCTGCTTCCTTCTGTCCTTCCCGTACCTGGAGGCAATATCTGCTGGTCAGGCTCCTCTTGCATCTCGTTACTGTGGTCAGCAGGAGTTCTTAAAGGAGGGGACAAAATGCACTGGTCCCTCTTGAGGATGAAAAGGAAAAACTGAGCCTTTTCGGTGACAAAGCAACACAATGTCCTGGGAGGGGGGGAAGAGTGAGACCCTCCAGACAGTGGAGATGCAGAAGCACTAGAAGAAGTCTTGTCATGAAGGACAGGTGCATTTTCTGGGGACAAGTGTCGTCCGTAGGCTCCTGCAGGTAGTCGGGTTTGTGCGGAGCTTCCGCTGCTGGATTTGTCCATAGGGAAGGGAGGAGGGGAACGAGAGTCTGGCAGGGAAACCCACGTCCCCTTCCCCTGCTCGGCCACGGCAGAGGGAACCTGAGCAGAACGCAGAGACAGAGACTCTGCCGGGAGCGGGCCCGGGGGGCTCAGCCCTGGGCGGTGACCGCCAAGGCGTTCACGTACCCGTGGGGCCCCACGTCCACGTCGGAGAGCCCGTGGGCCAGCGGGGCGGCGGCGGGGGCGGCGGCGGCCGGGCCGTACTTGGCGGGCGGCGGGGCGGCGGCGGGGCGGAGGAGGCAGCAGGTCTCCAGCGCCTCCAGGCCGCGGCAGGTCAGGAAGAAGAGGTTCTTCAGCATGAAGAGGGACAGCGGCTGCTGGTAGCGCAGGAGCAGGAGGCAGCGCAGCGCCAGCAGCGGCGCGTCCAGCAGCCCGGCGGGCAGCAGGAGGTGCAGGGCCAGGCGGGCGGCGCCGGGCGGGCGGGCGGCGCTGAGCTCGTACAGCCACAGCACCGGCGAGGCCAGGCAGAGGAAGTAGACGGCGATGAGCAGGTAGCGCAGCGGGGCGGGCAGCGGAGCCGGCCGCCCGGGCTGCAACACCAGCTCCAGCAGGGAGAAGCTGTCGAGCAGGTCGAGGCAGGTGGCGAGGAAGGCGGCGGCGGCGCGGTGCTGCGGCGGCGGCTGCGGCGGCAGGAGCAGCTGCCCGGCGCCCTCGGTGCCGATGGCCCGCAGCAGGCAGTACAGCAGCGGCGCGGAGAGCGCCAGGGTGATGCGGAAGCCGGTGGTGCCCAGCGGCAGGCGCAGCTCGATCAGCTCCAGGATGGAGGTGCCCAGGATCAGCGCCGCCTTGGGCGTGAAGGCGATGGAGTAGATGAGCCAGGCGAGGTGCGCGTAGGCGAAGTCGCCGCCGCGGGGGGGGACCCCGGCCCCGCGGCCCCCGGCCCCGCGGCCGCCGGGGGGGCCGTGCAGCAGCCACCAGTACAGGTCGGTGACGGCGATCAGGTAGAGGTCCAGCAGCGCGCCCTGCCCCAGCAGCAGCACCAGGGACAGCGCCTGGAAGCCCCAGCGCCGCCCTCCCCCCGCCCCGCCGGGCCCCAGCAGCGCCCCCGCCGCCGCCC